AACCCTTCTGGTCCCCACTAGTGAGTTTATAGACAGCCACAAGGTCCCCCCTCAGCTTTCTCTTGTGGAGGCTGAACAGGTTCAGGTCCCGTAGCCTCTCATTGTAGGGTCTGCCCTGCTGTCCCCGGATCATGCGGGTGGCCCTCCTCTGGACCCTCTCAATGTTGTCCACATCCCTCTTGAAGTGGGGTGCCAAGAACTGGACACAGTACTCCAGCTGTGGCCTGACCAGTGTCATGTAGAGGGGGAGGATCACCTCCTTGGCCCTACTTGAGATGCACCTGTGGATGCACGATAGGGTCCGGTTAGCCCTGCTGACTGTGACCTCACATTGTCGGCCCATGTTCATCTTGGAGTCAGTGATGACTCCAAGATCCCTTTCTGCCTCCGTGCTCTCAAGAAGGGAGTTTCCCATCTTATAAGTGTGCTGCTGGTTACTACTGCCCGAGTGCAGCACCCTGCACTTGTCCATATTGAAACGCAGCCCGTATCGTTACTCAGCTTTCTTTCCAGTGGGCCCATTCGTAAAAGACAAGGCTAAATCCTGAGAGGGAGAACAGCCCAGGTAGGGGCAGAAAACCAGCTGACACCTAGAAAGAAGGAACTATATGCTTTTCATTCTTATCCAAAAATGCTTGGAGGGGGAGCATTTTTCAAAGCAGAGCTCACAACACTATGGATTCTCCATACGCCTGGATGCAATGAGCCCCCACAGGGGGAAAGAGATTCTACCTACTGAAGCACAGCAGCATTCAATTGTCACCTGAAATAGAAGCCAGGATCCTTGGGAAGGGGTTGATGCAACTGCCTGGCCATCCTTGGAAGCAGGCTCTTGTTTTGCCACAATCTACAGAAAGAAAACACAGTTAGACCATCTTCCAAGGCAAAGTAAATCATTCAATAACAGGCAAAACACTTAAAGAAAGGCAGGAAACTAAAGCACTGTATTCACTAGCTTCTCCAGGGCTTGTACCTGTCCTTACAGAAGACAATGGAGAAGAAACAACACATTAAATTCCTTTAACATCAACCCAATCCAGTAGCAGGGTCAGAGTCATCATTTAAAGTAATTCTGTATAAAAATCTCCAGCCAGTCTGAACAGGGCAACTGTCAGTTACATTTAATAAGCATCCTTCCTGATGAAATGTAAAATGCAAAGGTGCCATTACCTCTAAGAGGATTTCATACCTTCCTCCGTAGGGCAGGAGTATGCTTGGCTCTCCATGTCTGCATCTTACACGATGGTGCTTGGCTTGAGCCAGGCATGGGCTTCTTTCTTGCCTGAAAAGTGAAGTTTTGTGTTACTTGTAAGACTTTAGAACCCAGAAAGCTGCCTGAGAAGCCAAAAGCTTAGCAAAGGAGAAGTAGAAGAACATCACCCAGTGCTTAAGATGGCAAAACATGTGCTGCAATAAGTGAGAGGTGGAAAGCTCCAGGGACCATTACAACCAGCACTAGAACATTAGAAACCAGGTCAAGAGCTAAGCAAAGCCCCAGGAAGTCAATGAGTCTCTTCATTGACTTGTATGGAGTTTGGATCTAGTCCCTGCAGAAACCAGCAGAGAAAAAATGGGAGGCACAATTCTTTCATCAGGGTGTTTACTGGAAATATGTCCATGGCAATGCAGGACTTCAGTCCAGCCTGGTGTTTTATGACAAAGAACACTTAGGTTCTAAAAGAAAACCTCAACTTTAACTAAACCTTCCTGAGTTTTGCTTGTACAGGAACAAGGTTTCATCCTCTTGGGCTGAACATTTTGAATTTGTAGCAAGAGGGTGCTCATAGGAAGACACTGGTTTATTGGAGCTCAAACTGAGGGAAAAGAAAGGAGAATGGAAGATGAGTCTAGGCAGTGAGGCCATAGCCCTTCTGCACATAGTGCAGGATATTGTCATACAAGGCTTAGCTGCTCCTGTTATGGCAACTGTTAGAAGTCACTGCCGTGTAAACAGCAGGTGCAGAGAATGGTGAGTGTGTGTCCAGGGCTCCAAGACATGTATTTTGTACATGTTTGAGTTCTCACCCAGAACTGTGCACTGAGGAGTTTCTTCTGCAGGACTTTTGCATATAAGAAAATATTCTTATAACAAGAGCAGGGGCCTTGATTTTGCTACCCTGGCTCCCATGCATGTTCCTCTGAAGCTGCTGGGATTACTCACATCTACTGTTCTTCAAACATAAGAGACTTTCAAGTGAGACTGAAAACCAGATGTTTGGTGGATAACAAACCTCCAGCAGGTTTGGATGTCCAGATTCCTTGTGAAGCACCCACCACCACCCAAATGAGCATCCATGGACTGACACTAGACTTCAGAAATAGCATCTCCAGAGGGACTCTCTGGTAGGAGACAGAAGAAAGTTCCACATCCAAAGTAGCAGAAAACAACTTCTGCACTTGAACGAGGGACTTGCAGGTGAGCATCCAGCATAAAACTTTGTCTTTGACTACAGCAGCTAAAGCGCTGCTAGCTGATAAGTTCATGGAACCATCTTTGTGACGGGCATTGGTCCAGTGATAAACCTCCACTTGGCAGACAAATCTTTCCAGATGCAAAAGTTCCCTCAGTCTGTACCAAGGTGGTGCTGGGCCTGGGCACCTTCTGGAGAGAAATTCTCCCCTGACAGTGCACTGGGTCCATTCTGCTCTGCAACAAAAAGCTCGTTCCATTCCCCTCCCGCCCTACCTCAGCACAAAGATGGTGAATCTCAACCGGTCTGGACAAGACCTCTCCTCCCAGATGGATGTGATGTCCAGGAGGGGTTTTTCCAGTATCCACAGCATGTTGGGATGCTTGCAGTGAAACACAGTGATAGAACATGAGTGTGTGCAATCAAGAGTGGGTCAACTAAACCAATAGTAGGTGCAAGTCGCACTTAGCTCCCCACTGACAACCTCAGTATCTCCAGCTGTGTGACTGCAGCCAGCTATACGGTGGTCCATCTATGAGAGCCAAGCTACCACTATGCAGAGTCCAGGGAAGCCCCTCTCAAGGGAAGAATCTGAGTGGGTACTAAGAATCATTTCCTGCCCCCAACAAGAGAAATGTATGGGCACAGCTCAGGGAGAGATAGAGGAGGTAGGTGCAGAGCATCATGGGGTCAGTGGCAATACTAGTCATATCCTGTTCTGTGGTTTGCAGACTCCAAGCACTAGGAAAGGCAGCTGCAGCCCATGGGAGGTGAAATTCTCATTCTGATTTGTGCATTGGCCAGTGGTGCTGAAAAGCAGGTAGAGCGGGGTTGTTCAACTGGCAGCCGCAGAGGGCACCTCTCCCGCTGCCACATGGCAGGGACATGCCCAGAATTCCATGTACCAGTGACACAGCCTGTGCAGTAAGGAGTGTGTGGGGACTCCTGGAGGTCTGGCTATTGATGGCTACAGAATGATATTTAGAGGTATACTTTTGGGTATTGGCTTGTAAGTAAAGTAGATATTGCATTAGAACAATGGTCCAGAGCAATGGCAAGGATTAATTGATTTCTAAAAGCCTATTTGTGACAAAGTTTCCTTCAAGGTAAGCAGCAAAGAGACACACAGACTGGGAAATTGAAGACATGAACAGTGTACCCAAACAGAGATAAGGGACTCTGCAGCATTGGCATTAGGTCACAGTGCCAAATTGCAGAGCCCTTGGGATTTCTGGTTTTGGTAAACAGATCAAATTAGGAGAGACTGGAAAAAGTCCAAATTAAGATGTGTGCATGTGATGGGTTTGTTGGAACAAAGAAATATGCTGACAGGACAGAATGTAGACAGCATGACGACTACAGTGGACAGTGGACACACCACCATGGACAGTGGGCACACCACCAGCCCATCTCACACACCCCAGCCAGGCCTCAATCTCCAACCTCCAGGCTGCTGACAGCTGACATTCAAGAGAGAACCTCAGAGTGAAGCTCACGTACTAGCCACATGTACCTTGACTCTGTGACAGCTCTAGGACTGGTCAATGTAAACTTGTTTGCGTTATTCTTATTTGCTATTCCTGTGTATCAATAAAATTTGCCTATTATTGAATGGAGAGGTTGTGGTCAGTCTGACAGTTTTGGGTCTGCCTGGAACAAGGTACCTGGGTCAGAAATCCAGTGCCAACAGCTATGCCAGCATCTGGACTATGCCATGAACCTGGTAAAGTGACCAGTCAAGTTACCAATGGTCCTAGTGAGAAAGGGAGAATTATGTGTCCTACAAGTGTGATGATGCTATGGCCTGGTCTCTTGAGGCAAGAGGTAGCTTTATACAACTGTCTCTTCTGCAGGCTTTGTGGTATGAATGACACATGCGTGTTTTACAGCCGCAGCCCTGGGGTGCTCTTCATGGCATTGTCTATCCCAGGGCTGCCCAATTTCCCTGTATCTGGGCCGCATGCCTAAAGGGCTGCACCTGCAATGCAAGTCATGCAGGCCAAACCAGGGTGAGACACAGGCCCCTGTGATGTGCAGGCACCCACACTGCTACACTGCATGGCACCCCCCCACCCACTGCTGCACCTTCAGGCAGGAAAGTGTCCCCTGGGTCCATTCTGCTCTGTGACATGGAGCCCCTTCCATTCCCCTGCTTTCCTACCTCAGCAGAAAGGCAGCAAATCTTATTCGGACTCACTGAGGCCTCTTCCTCCTGGTGGACACGACGTCCAAGCTGGGTTTTGTTGGTGTTTGAGGTCTGTTGAGATGCCTGTGAGGAAACACATGGACAGAGCATAAGTGAGGGGGATCAAAAGTGAGCCACAGCCCCCCGAGCCACCCACTGTTCAGATGTCTCCATGGCTGCAATGTGTGGGCACCTCTCATCTAGTGCCTGGAGTCTTCACCTTCCCACCAATGTACCCACTGGAGGGACCTGCTGTCCTTCCCTGACAGTGTAGCATGTCCATTCTGTTCTGTGACAAAAAACCCCATCAATTTCCCTTCCTTCTTACCTCTATAGAAAGGCGACGAATCTTGGCCCGTTTTGGGATAATGGATTGTTCCTTGTGGAGGTACTGTCCATGCTGGGTTGGGTGGGATGTCAGCAAGGAAAGACAATGACACTGCATTAGTGAGCGGGATCAAGGGTGAGTCCCAGTCCTGCAAGCTATGTACCATATGGTCATCCCACCCCCTCCACTGCTGCACTGCATGCCAGGGGTGGCTGCCAGACCCACCCTATGCCCTGTATTGATAGGGAATTCAGAAAGGGATAGGAGCACAGGCAGGAAAGAAAGGGAAAGAACAGGTGAGAGTGTCCAACTCCACAGAGTCCAATAAACTGTGTCCTTGACTGCTTTAGACACTACCTTCAGTAACCCTTGCACCATCATCAATGATCTGATAAAGTTTGTGGAGGTCCCAGAGCAAAGAGCAGTAGCAACTGCTTTGAAGGACAGGAGAAGTATTTTAAATACTCTTGATCAGCTGGAGACAAAATCTAAAATCAGCAAGATGGAATTCAACAGACACATGCAGTATAAGAATTGTATGGCAGAGAAATGAAATACAGAATGGTGAATACCAGGGTGGGCAGAAAAAGGGCTGGGAGTTGGAGTGGAACAGAAACAAAGTGAGGCACCCAAAAAAAAGGTTGGATGTCATTCCAGCTTGTCCTGACAGGCATGAATGCCACGTGCCCCTGGAGGCTGGGGGGGGCACGGCATCCGCCCACAGACAGCAGCAAGCGGGGAGCTCCTTCAGGTGGCCACAGCGGTGTTGGGGGTGGGCAGGGCCAGGGAGGTAGCAAGTGCAGACCAGTGGTTGGCAACTACACACAGATGCCGCTGGCAGCGGTGGCAGTGGCCAGCAGCCATCAGGGACCACCCGGAGACATTGGCAGTGTTAACGGCAAGGGGGCAGAGGTGGTGAGTGGCGAGCACCCACAGGCGCCGCTGGCAGCGTTGGTGGCACTTTTTGCAGGGGGGTGTCATCCCAAGCTCAGTGGTGCATGTGCACCCACATGCACCCCCTATGTGTTGCCAATGTTGACAGGTACATTGTCCAACATGAGAAGCAACTCTGCTCTCCCCAGTGCTGGAAGGGCTCAGCTGGAGCCCCACGTCCTGTTCTGGACCCCAGACTTTCAGAGAAGTTGACATACTGGGGGGAGAGAAGAAGGGCTTGAATGAGAAGAGGCTTGGAAGACATGACTCACATGAAAAGACGGAAGGAACTGGATTTACTTCCTTTTCCTAGCAGCCTAGGGTTGAGGGGGACATAGGTTCCCAACCTTTAAAGGTGTGAAAGAGTTATTTCTAAAAATGATATGATTCTTTGTTCCCAGGGAGAAGCATGAGAACAAACCATCTTAAAGGAAGTTCAAAATAG